ATGAACATAACAGTATGATAATCATTCCTCAATACTTAATCATAATTATGAATTTATCGTATTTACTTCTACTCCAAAATTATTATTTTATTCTGTTTGGGATATTTCTTTGTGAATAACTTTCGACAAATTCTAGAGAAATACGAACATAACGTATAATTCACCCATCTTATTTCTCTGTAATCATATATACATATGACTAAATCAAATTCTCCACTAGTACTATTAGAGATTTCCTACTATGTTGGAAATGGAAACTCACTGCAACAGATACTTAGCGTTCCCCTCCTCTCGTTTAGAAAAAGACCACTTGTCAGATTATAGAAATGCAATTGATGTAATTCATTATGAATTTCCAAATTTAAATCCTCGTCAAAATTATACATTTTCTATAGGAGGACCGCGAAAGTATAATAATTGATCGTTTTTTTTTTTTGTTTCAGTTAATGTTCGAAAGACATAATTTAGTTCTCAATAATTTAATGTTCACTCTCTCAATCATTTACACATTCTTAATTTTTTCTTTTCCTATTCCCCGAATACCTAATTTTTGTAACTGTTTTTTGTCTAATGATTGTAAGATTTTTGTTACTTTAATTACTGTAAGATTTTTGTTACTTTAATTAAATTTGCATAGCCGGTTATTATTTACTATTAGTTAATATTTGTTATTATTAGTTAATATTTGTTCCTTCAAAGTTGCTACCTTAAATAAACAAATTGCTTGAATGTATCAATACATTGTGCCATACTCTTTTTCCTTTCTATTTTAATCTGGTCTTAAACCTCTCTAAAGCCATCTAAAGTACCAAAGTTAAATGAAAGTTAACCTAAAGTTGCTAAAGTTGACTTTTTATTTCAATGTCACAACAATTACTGTTGAATAATTTTTTATGCAAATATTTTGATTTTGCTCACTTTTAACTACTTCGTTTCTGGTCTTGCTTCGATTATGTCTATAAACGCTGTTTCAATGAAATTCGCAATTGATATTAACCCATGAATTGTTGAGATTTATATAAAATTAACAAGCTACATTTCATCTTTCTTATTGACATGTTTGAAGGATTTCATTTGAGTAAATGCAAAAGGCTTAAATAAATATCCATGACCACCATAGAATTTGCTTTGAAATTCAACCCTGAAATGAAATCTTTTGAAAAAGATGTATACAAATATAATTTTTCGATAAAAAATTTTTCGGAAATACATTCAAAACAGTTGAAATCTCAGGAATTCTCCGGATATGAACCAATTATAACAGTAAAATTGGAAATTTGTAGGTTGTTGATAATTGAACTGATACCAATGTAATCGTAACGTATGCAAAAAAGTAGAAAGTCCTTCCATTAATATCAATATGGCAAATGTAAGCACTCCGTAGAACCAAGAGATGAGATATAATACTGGACCACTTGACCAAGCATTGAATGAAAAAGCCATACTAAGTACCATTGACCACAGAACTTCAGAAAGCTCTGGAATTACAAATTATATAAAAAATTTATCATTCTCATCAATTCTTAGAATGTTCTAGTTAAAACTGATTAACATTATTTTATGCTAGATCTAAAAATAATTTTAAATTGGATAAAAATGATTTTTAAAATATTTACGTGCATGGGCCAGAGAAAGTGCCCAAAGGCGAAGATAAGAAGCAGTATGTGATATGCAACCCAGTGCAAATTCAATCGTATGGATTCCTTGGTGCATCAAAACATTCATAAAATCGAACTATAATTGTGAGAATTTAGACAAAAGTATATGATTCGGAACTAATTAGAGTGAATCTAATGTGATACAGAAAATCGACCTTATTAATCTCAAAGCTTAATATAATAATTAAGTGGAAAAAATATACTTCCTTTACCGTACATTTTAAAATGCGAATACTCATTGGCTCATGATAGAACAAATAAAAATACTCTAACATCGAAAAAAAAGTGAGAAGAAATGGATAGGTTTTCGGAACGAACCTTCTTCACTTCATCGTTATCAATATTGCCAACTTCTTCATTTCCAATTTTCCGGAATTTAAACTTCAGATAAATGGGTTTCACCAAAAGCATTGCTGGTATGCAAAGTAATGCTAATATTAAAAGACCCTTCTCAACTATACCCTGCAAACATAACTTTTTTTTCTTTCCTTCCTTTTGAAGGTTAGCAGCAACACTCTCATTTACAACAAATTATAATGATTCGAGTAATCGATAATCAGATATGAATACTTTTTACATTAAAATATTGAAATGTTTTCAACGCAGCAGAACTGTACCACTAATTTTTTCTTTGTTTTTTGGAGCCTACATTTTTAATTTCAACTATCATACCTCATCTATGAATTCGACTGTCATCAGACTAAGAACCAACACATTATTTATCTGTGATTTACTACGTATCACTAAGATAAATTTAGTACCTGATTTGGATACCATTCCTGTAAATAACAATACTCCAATTCGGTAGATGAAGAGTGATTCCAGAAACCTTGTTTGCGTGGTTTTAGCATACACATATTGATTAATCCGATCAGAAGTGATGGAGCACAATGTGATCCTGGATAAAAGAAGCCGAAAATATCACCTGGTGTGGTGCTGAACATGAGCCATTTAATTATCATCTAAATTAAAAAAGGATTATGACCTTATATCTGTAAATCTGGCGTATAAAAAATTGTATATTTAAGGTATTTTTGCAAATCTGAAATATGTATATACAAATCTGGAATATAAAACTGTATAAAGATATGTGTAAGAAATTTTGCAGGAAGAATTGATTAATATTTCTTGACAAAAATTAAATAATAAGTAATTCCACATGGAATAAGGAACATAAAAGATAAAAGGTATTATTAAATTGTTTTTCTTTCATTTTGTACATCTTCAATGAAAATATAAATTTAACCTGAATACATAAATAAATTAATATGGAAGATAGGAATAAAATCTGCGGTATAAATGTAAAGCAAATATCGATAGTTGATCGAAAATATCTGCAATATAATTTCCACCATTAAATTCTAAATTTAATTTGAACAAACTTAATGTATTTCTCGATCGTTGCATTCTATGTTTGAAAAAAAATCACTTATTTTTTTTAAAATGAAAAGATAGAAATAGCGAATAAAAAAATGAAACAAACAAGAAATTCATGAGACTGAGGATAACACCAAATGTCATTTGTGTGATGCCAAAAATAATGGATATTTTCATTTTCATTGAATTTGTAAATGTTAGACGATTTTCTGCTAAATTCCAAACTGGATCTAGACCAAAAACATATGGACCCTACAAAATCTTCTATAAGTTTTTATGACACAATATTTTCCAAGATTATCAGTAAAATAAAATTTATTCAGAAGCACAAAGGTTTAAATTATGAATGAAAAAAATTTTTAAATTAGTGAAAATTTAATTTGCTTTTCCGAAGTCAATGAAAAGTTACTTTGTCTCTGTCGTAAGCATATTGTGGCGATAATGTTAAATAAATTCGCGCAGTCTTTTCGTTCCGTGTTAAGCTGAACATGCTAATACTTAATGTACGGTAGTAAATGTACGAAATGATTATAACAAACCAAAAAAATATTTAAATGAATGGAAATTATTATAAATGCATACTGAAAGTTGTGTGCTATAACAGTTTTCTCTCTCTTTTATTTTCTATTTTTTTTAATTAATGGAGAGTTCCTCAGATAATAACAAAAAAGAAATACAACTGAAATTTTACATTTATTAAATAACTAAAAGCAAAATAAGAAAAGATCATAAAATCTTACTTGTAGGGATTGTGCCAGCTGCTTTCAAATAAATTCATCGAACGTGAATAGAAATCGTTATAGATGAAACCTGTATAAATTGAGAAAAGTCCCATTAAAAGAATGATAAAACGTCCAAGATAAAATGTTCCCATTATCTGTAATATTCCAAAAAAAATCTACAAGTTAAATTATCTTTGAAATAAAAAATTTTTATAACGTACAGTTTATATAAATTTTATATTTCCAACATGAAATCTCTCAAATCATTCAAATTTGATTGTTAATGTTAGACCAAATACTTATTTTTTTTAAATTAAAACTAATGCATGGTGAGAAAATGCGTTTAGGATTTAAGAATTCAATGTATTAACAAACTTCATCATCGGTTTTAATCTTATTTTCGAGTAGAATGAACGCAAGGGCAATAAAAAACATAATTAATCCATGACCAGCATCACCGAACATTACTGCGAATAGGAATGGAAATGTTATTATTGTCCATGGAGCTAAAAATAAAAAAAGATTATGATAATTTCAAATGAAAGAAAAAAGATGATAGATGAACTGGTATCAAATAACAAAAAAAAGGCAGGATTTGTAATGTTCTGTTTATAAAAGCAAAACAGATAACCTGGATTAATTTCGCGATACGTTGCTACACCGTAAGAATTAACAATGTTTTGAAAAACTTTTGTGAATTTATTAATACGAAAATATGTTGGTGGTATTTTATTCGTTTCAATTTCGCACAAAAAAGATGATACGGGAGAGCTATTTTTTTCCTGTAATAATTTCATTTAATTCATAACATCCTGTTAAATTTTTAAAATTTCACCATGATTTACAACACTTTGCCAAATTTGTCTAATTCCGGAATGAATAACAAACAAAAAAAAAGCATCATATAATATACCGTGCTAGTTTTGTTTAAGCTATTTCGAACACATATTATATCAGCGGTTGGAATCCAACATTCAGCAATTAGATATCGTTGAGTGATGTCAACATTGCACATATTCATCGTTTCGAATACAGCGGACATCTTTTGCAACTGAAAATGTAACTTCTGTTTTATGATTACAATATGGCTTATCACATCATTCAGATTTACTTCATTATTTCATAAAAATTTATTTTAATGAATATTTTTGCTTTCGCTATTATGTTTTAAAGGAAAAATTTTTTTTCGTTGCTTGCAAAGCTATTGTAGCACTCGAACACTATTTCAGTAAATTTCCACCGAATTTAGAATTGGTCTGAAGTTCGGAAGATGAAATATGTCGCAAGATTTGAAAATTTTTAGATGATGAGATAGATTGGTTAATGAAGAAGAGTGGTAAAGTGAAGTTTAACCTTAATATCCCACTCATGAACTTTGTAAGCAGTTGCCTGGAGCAATGTGTTACGATATTTTCTTGTTTCTTCGATTACCGATTTAATTTCAGTCACACGTCGAAATAAATTTGTTACTTGTAACACTCGGTCATTTATCATATCTTTAGAATCGTATACTTTCATTTGATAGCTGAAACTAAATGCTTTTTACTTGTTAATTTTTTCGAAAATCATACTATGTGATAAAAATAAAATATTCTCACATCTTTACAAAATATTCTCACCATTGACACATCTTTCTCACTCGTAAGCCAAGTATTGTACCGGAAAAAAATATCAGGAAGACATCTTTTGGTGAAACATCATTCTAAAGCATTTTCATATTGAGTAAAATAAGATGTAAACAATTTTTTTTTTTTTGAAATATGAAACTGATTAGAGTGTAATTAACAAACGATTATCGATATTCAAAAGTCTTATTACTTTCAATCATTTATTAGAAGAAATAATTAGAGGAAAAAAAACTGAAGAATGAAGAATAAATATCTGATTTTTTAATCGAAAAAGACTTACAAGTAAAGGATCTTCGCTGAAATCAATAGTAACAATGCGCACGAAAACATTCAAACCACATGTTCGCCAAAGCAATCGTTCCAACGCAACTGAATGACGACGTTCCACAATTCCGGCAACGAAACTGTAATTCAAAAATGATGAAATTTTTGTTATCGAAATTATTAAAAAGAATGAAAAGTACAACTGCGCAGCGAAAATTGGAAGAAAGATGCCAATTTATTCAATACTGTTCGCTGTATTGCATTGCTCAAAATTGACAAGAAATAGGAAAAACAAATAGATCGATTGCAAAATTTTAACTTTTTATACTATTAACTACTAAATTTTATATCAAACCTGATATCTAATTTTTCGCCTGAGAAAATACTTGACCTTCGACCTGAGATAAGGCTATCTTTTCTTCTTATTATCGCGTTGGTTAATTTCCGACGAATAGCACCAATACCGGAAGCTAGATTTTCCTGATCCACTCCAAACACTGACTGTTTAGTTTGTTGCTGTTCCTACAAATTTAGAACCTGTTACAAATTTTATATCTATTCAACTCTTGCTTTCGCAAAAAAATTCAAGAATATTTTTTTCAAAACTGATAATTTTATCAAATTAGTTTTTTATTTTTCAGCTTTCCAAAATTCCCGGAAAATTTCTCATTAAAAAAAGTTAAAATTTCATCTTATTTCAGCTTAAATACTTACATCTGTAAGAAGATGCTGCACTTTATTAATGCACTGCATGCATTCATTTAGCTGTGCATAATTATCCATCAAATTTTTCATATTCATATTATTTTCTATCAACTGTTCCTCAATCTTTTCAATTTCAGCCTGAAAAATTAATCCCAGAAAAAAGGACGAATTTTAAGAAAGTTTTAAAATTTCAAAATAAAGAGTAAATGTACTTAAACTAGTAAAGCATGCCGTTAAAAAAAGAGCTATGGGACATTTTTTTGAGCTACTCTTATTGGAGAAGTTTGATAGCAAGTAATTTATTTAAGAATACTATAGCAGGTAACTTATTTAAGAATACTTGCATATACTTCAAGTATGTTCATTTCGTTCGGTAATGGCGCAGGAACAAATCCATTTAATCGCGGTATTGGGATAAAATCTGCTAGAATTTGCTCTTCAATAAATTCTAAATAATCTTCATTATCTTGTCTGAATGCTTACTGATGAATGATAGAGTGATTTTATTAAATGCTAAAAGTTCATGAAATTATCAAACAAGATTTTGGAAATAAATATTTCGTTTGATTCTTTTAAAGTATATTTCATATGATTCAGCAGTATAACTGACAGTAAAATGGGATAAAAAATGGATAAGTGAATTAGACTGAAATAATACGTAGTTTTTGTGCCATCAAATCGCATCGTTTCAAATCATTTACAAAACGTCTTTGGAATGAACTGATTTCGGAATTCAACTGAAATATGGAGAATTTCCCATAGTCAAAATTACAAAAATTAAATAGTCAGTAAAACGAAAAAAATTACGGTTCAATTATTTGGTCATTTGAGCTATTGTAATTAAAACTGTAACATTTTATTGGAAAAGCTTGATACCAGTTGTGTAAATAAAGTTGTTGAGGAAAGAAAAGTTTTGGAAAGCGAAATCCGATACCGGAAGATTGGAAGGGAAAGAAAAAGCTTGCTAAACAGGTTGGAAGTGCTGATGATAAATTTCAGAATAGAGACTGGAAAGACTGAGAGTGAAGAAATAAAAGAGATTAGGCTCTGAAAAAAATTTTTTGGTAAAATTGTTTTTAAGTGTTGAAAGTCTTCAGTATATAAATGCGAATTAATTTGATTTAACAAATTTGCTTATTCCATAATTATTCAAATCTATTCATAAGTTCGCTGACTCATATTTATTCCAATGTTCTAAAAAACGCTTACTGAACTCACATCAATAAAATGTACGACACCAAGTTCACCAAGTTTTGCTACTTCATCGTATGCCATCTCGGAATGTAGAAACAGCTGACAAAGAGACATTAATTCACTACGATATAAAGAGCCCATATTTGCTTCCAGGTGCACTATTTATGAAATATTTATTTGAAATTTATAATATCAATGATAGTTAACAATAAATGAAAAATTTGAGACATTTCAGAGATTTCTATTTTTTTCATCGATCTCAACAGATTTCTATTTTGTTGACACATTGCTGACACGATTCACATAATTAATATTTCATTATGGAAGTGTTTATTCGATTTTCTTTAAACCAAAATACATTCTAGAAAGAAACCCGAGATATCCGCAAATTTCTGGATTATACCTGAGTTGATAACATCTTCCTATACCAAAGGGAAAACCACCAAACTTTTGACAAAAAAACCAACAAATACCAGGTGAGTTCCCCACCCCAATCACATCTTTCCAGACTCTTATCAGCTTATCAATTCTTCAACCGCGAAAACATTAACAAACACTCCACTTGTGATAATGTGCTTTTTGATCTTGACATGTTTTGCCAAAATTAGTTTAGATAAGTCGCAACACAGCAGAAACAAAATATATTTACCCCTTTCGTTAGATTTTTCATACATTACCACAATAAATTTTGAATACATTCAGAGCTTGATGCTTAAATGTCATATCAAGTTTCTTAAACGAAAAACCTATTACAATACGACTGATCATTGTTAATGAAAACACATAGCTTTTATTGCTAAACTACTACAAGAGAAACGAAAGCTCACCAAACAATATAAGCTGCCCAGCTTCTCCACATTTATGACTAAACTGTTAATTTAAGCCCAATACAAAACAGCGCACATGTGATGATTCGTTTACAAATAGTACCTTTACTTCCTTATGTAAGTGCTTTTTCTGCAGTCGTTTTGATTCTTTAGCAGCTATTCTTCCTATAAATATTAAACAGCTGACGAACACTTCGTCCCTGCTGAGATCAAAAACATGAATTTTACAAATATCTAACATCGTAGAGGCATTTAGAGAAACATTTCTATTATTTACTCGATGACAGACTTGAACTTATCCATGATTTTGCGATATATTATTTCCAATTGTCTTTTCACGAGTCTCCTTTGAGAAGTCTAAACTTCGAGAAGACCAGCTTTGTTTTTGAAATACCCAAAAAACCACGAATAACACAGTTGAAATTTCTAGAAATTCATTTTCCTCTAAAAAAATGCATTTAAAAAAAATTTTGCTCTTTCCCAAACCAAAACAAGACCAACCAGAAAACAAAACAAGACTTCTTTATTTATTTCATTCATCCATTTTTCATTTTTTTTTCTGTTAGATGTGTTCAGTAGATTCTTTCTCGTATTTTTTTTTCAAATAATAGAACACTTATTCAAATGAGGTTGAACTCAAAAAATGTGTAGCCCGAAAAAAAAACATACAACTTATTATATGAACATAATAAATGAATTATTTTGCTCCACTGCTAAGGAAGCAATTTAATATTATGTTATTTATATCTAATATCATTAAAACGTAGAAATAAAGCAGGAAAGCACTGTGTAGTTGTGCTGTACAAAATCTTGAATAAGAGCTGAATCGAAAATAGCTAAAAATTTTGTAAACATTTCTGAAGTTAATAGTCCTCTCATTTAATTAAAATAGTTAAAAGATAAACACACATAAGCATAATGAAGAACTTAAAGCTACCAAAACGTCCCTATTTGATTAGATTTTCATTTTCGCGATCATCACCATCACGTTCCTCGTCCTGTGCCCATTCGTCACGCATTTCTGTATTCACACTGGCGAAAAGGTAGTCCCATGTCCAAGATACTTTCTCATCATTCACTTCTTTTAGACACAAAAATCGTGACAGAAGTGATAAATCTACAACAAAGTTAGCAATTTTAAATTTCAACACTTTTAAAATCTCAGTCGGTGACCAACTGAAATAATAAGCATAATTAGGCTTGTCAGAGCGAAATGGCTTGGAAACACGATTCTTCACTTGCAAATAACTAGAGCAAGAAAAATGGATTTTTTCTTTGAAATTAATATACCTATATCATCCAATTTAACAAGTGAAGTATTCTTCGCATTCATAAAATCGAGTTGATACATTGGTGATATTTGATTGACGTTTATGCTTGGAGCATTAGCAAGATCATGTAAAACCTATTGAAAACAACGAAATTATAATAGCACCAAATACCTAAGAGCGAAGTATCAATGTAATAGAGATTTGCTCTTCTACAAACCACAACAAAGAAACTTTAAGCCAAATATAAGTAACGAAAGAAATGTCCTAAGGGACATCCAGAAATTTAAGCGTAAAAAACAAACCCCTTCGAAACACGGTGTCTCCGAGCTCTGAGAAACGGTGTGTTCTGAAATGAAAGTTGGCCTATGTTTCCAAAGTTCTTGTTGATACACATTACAAAGACACTACCTCTCTATGTAGTAGACTTAATTTGAATTGAAAAAATATTGCAAAATCTAGCAACAATCAATAGCAAAACAATCTTATGCGCTTTCTTGACAATATAACTAATATAACTCATACAAAAATTGCACTAACCATTTCCATAATTCGAAGTTCCGGGTGCAGAAATATCTGTTTCCGTTTTGTTCTCACCTTTTGTTCTAAGTTTCGAATTTGGTCGAAAACTTGGCCCTCGAAATAGCCCTAAAACCCTATCAGTGTCGCTAAACAGCATAGAATAGATTTAAAAATCTTAGCCCAAAGCACAGTGAAAACTCCTGTCAAAATGAAAGTAGAAATATTATAGTAAATGGAAAACGACTGACAACAGAGTAATAAGCTGATTTGTTTCTAAAACCATACAATAGCAAATTAACAATTAGCACGTTTTTAGCCATATTTGCGTAAAATGGCAGGCCAGTTCTGCGCTCCTTCCCTCGGAAAAGCACGCAAAAAGCGAATCAGTGACTTTCATAAAAATAAAAATTAGCTGATAAATAAGACCTGTAAGAGGGCGTTTGATAGTGTCTTTTAGATCGTGGCTGGAATCTTTGCGGAAAAGATTTTTGATAGCAGTAGTAGGTGTATCTTTGAAGATGCTTCCCACTGGACCTTTTCTAGTACCGCCATTTTCCCGTTCCTTTACACGCACATTCAGAGTTATGTTGGAATCTGAAAACAATTTTTTTACACTGATGACATGCAGTTTTTTGCTAAGCAATAATTCACGACAGCGGCCCTTTAGTTTTCTTTTTTTGCGTAACCTTAAAAATAAAATTTCCCACGTCACTCACACACAATTGCGCTGGCGTTCAAAAAAGAATATAGGTGCATATGAAAACAAGCATAAAGTGATATCAAATTGATATCCGCAGAAATAAATGCCTCCTAAGGATCCTAGTTGAAATAAATAGATGAAGTCTCGAAGAAAGCAGCATATCCACAGCACAGCGAGTCACAGCAGCATACATCTATCATACCGGTGGGATCGTTGATGTCATCATTGCGGTCACCGGCCAATGTGACCAGTCGATCAGTAAAGCGACGACGTCCTCGTCGAGTTCGTGGTTTACTGTCTATACCAATATTCATATCCATTTTTCATCACTGAACTCCTTTCTTTTCCATTTAACTGTTGTAAGAAAAAAAATTGAGTGAACGAATGAAATCGCTTATAAAACAAATAATCAGATGATGAAGCTGCAGTATTAAATCGATTTCGCACACCAGTAAATTAATGCAAATATAGTAACACCATTCAAGATTTCATATGAAAACAATCAGATGGTAAAGGGATAGGGAAACAATCATCAAGGTTTCTCGGCACATAATAGAACTTTATCTCAGTGTTTACCTTTGTAGGTTCTATCTTACGATGGGATAGATCTAAGCGAAAAAAGATCAACAATCCCTAATAAGGAAGTCATTGACATTGACTGAAACTTAAATATGACTTTATGTAATAATTTTTGTATACTTCATATTAAGACAAAAGACTTGAGCACGTGGCACGCTTTTCTCTCATAGTATTCCAAAATGATCAGTAAGCAGCAACATTGCAAATACAGAAAAACAGGCAATAGATAGCTTGTGACTTTGGACAATGATGAGACAACTAGTTGCACAGCAGATCCATCGCTAACAATAAGGCCGCGACATTTCCTCCATGCGTAATCAGACAGTTAGGATGAGAGGGTCGGCACAGAAAAGGGTGCAGAGAGGCAGGGGCAAGATGGGAAGAAGTATAAAAGGGCTAAGGCGGGTGCAGTCAGAGCAGAGTGAGGGAGAAGTCCTGGACTGGACGGTTCGCTCTGATCGGACGGGTGGTGGGATAGATAAGGGGGGTACTGAGGGGTGGGTTCGTACGTGCCGTACGGTACTGTACCATACTATTTCATGATGTGCTCTACTGCACAGTACTACACTGTCCTTCCGCTCCGTCACACTGCAGGGCGGTTATGGAGTCGCAGGAGGACAAGCGTTGGAAATGTTGACCCGCAGTTGTAGTTTGCAGTAGTCTGTAGCTTAAGGTGAAAATGCATAAATGCATATTCATCCAGTCTTGCCGCTTGTTTACCTAGAAAACAGCAGGAAGCTGCAGCGGCAAAAGTGTTGGTAGCAGTAAGAACAGGAAACAGCGAGCAGTACGCGACGACTGTATCCGCAGCAAAGAAGCGCTGCATGCAGCAGCAGCACTCGGCGGCGGCATCCAACAGCGGCTTCTCAGCAGTGGTACCAGCAGTTGAACCCACAACAGTAACTGTCGTTGATCGCCTCAAGCATCAGCTTCTTCAGGCCTATGACAATGTAAGCACTGTTGTTCAATGCTCACCCAGATAACGCATCAGTGGACATCGTAGTAGATGTAGCATGTATACGTTCCATGCTATATCCCCTGTCGCCAGCAATTCCAGCATTTGCTACATAAGATATTCTTGTGTATGCTGTAGGCCCTTAAAGGTATGGGTCAAATTAACATGTGGGGCTCAACTAGAAAACAACGTGATAGCCTGTCGTATCACCTGAGATTACCAACGGAAGGGAACATTTTTTCCAACATTAACAAGCATAACAAGAAGCAACGGGAGAAGAGAATGAAAGATGACGCGCAATTGCTTGCAGGGCGACACAGAACAGGCCACGGATGTGATCATCAAATTGGAGAAGTCCAATTTGACGAAGGAATTACTCGAGGTGAGGATATCAGTAACTTTCACCCAAAATTGAAAAGTGAGGAGAATGAGTTGGGATACATTTTAGAGAGTGGGCAGATGGAGAGAGGGCCTCCCTGCACGCCACGCAGCGTCCGACGATTGCCTGCACCGTTGAGGCAGTGAGTCGAAGAGCATCCATCCTGGCCTCCCAGCAATCTGCCAGACTGACCCAACCCTTTTCCTCTGCATACACGCGTGGGACTGAATTTTGCTTCCTTCTCTTCCGATCGACAAACTGGTGTGACTCTCTGCTCTCTCGATGGCCGGGGGTGGAGCTATCTCTTCTCTTCCTCTCTCTTCTCTCTTTGATCTCTTTCTTCTCTCAGAAAGCGATCGATTTCTCACTCTTTAGACAGACTAACATAGAGACAAAGAAGGGCTCTCTTTCACTCCTCCCTGCTCTCTATAGCTATCCATCACTACTTTCAGAGCATTTGTGAGAAAGGCAGGAGGAGAGAGAGGATGAGAGATAGGAAGTTGTGCTGTATAGGAGAAGGGGAGGGAATTGTGCCTTGCACAGTCAGGGAATATGAGAGCGAATGTTCTAAGAGGGGTTGGGCACTATGCACTGCGTTCTTACGGGATTCCTTTGGTCCACACGATCCACCGATACATTGATCGATAGATAGATACGATTGATGACTGTGAGTACTACAGGCAGGACATGTGGGTAAAGATTGAGGGACAAGTCAATGTGCTTATCCAAAACATATGCTCCTTCACGTTGGCTAGTTTGGCCAGCGTGATGCTTATTGACCTGACCTTTATACAAACGAGATCTGGCAGGGGAAGTTCTCTTTATAACCTCACTTGGTTGCGGACTTACGCACTAATCCCGTGGCTAATTAGTGTCATATATCCTCTAATGCTCATTTCTCAATGGCTTTGCACTTCAGTTTATCATACCAGCAGCCATTAGAGAGCATGGGTGAGATCATCTTATGGTAGCATAAGTCGAGTTTTTTCCTGGAACTTCGTATTAAAGAGAAAGGAAGCAAACACACTTCCAAATTAAAGCACAGCATCCATATAAAGCTCGATTGGAAGTGCACCTTCCGGTGTTAAAGTGAGGAAGATCATGGTGACTGCAGAAACAGGTTGATTCATTTGATCGGTTAACGTTGACATTGATCTCATTTTCATTTTAACTCTTTTTGAATGTTGTTTACAGTGAAGGCGAATGATTAACTTTTTACAAAGATTTTGACACGGGAAAATGTTGTCGCGCACTGATCATATATACATTGAGTACCTCACGACGCGCACTGATCATATATACATTGAGTACCGCACGACATTTCCTACTGTTCGCATTTCTTTGAGCAATAAATATTATTCTGCATCCAGTGGTGTTTTGTTAGTCAGCAAACAAGTGATCGGAGTGTTTTTAGTTTATGACCACTGCTCATTTAAATTAGAATGGCAGAGCGGTTGTTCTGAGGGAGATCATATTACTGTTAGATATTCAAGTAATTTTGGTGTGTATTTGTGACCGATATTAGGTCAGACTTGGAGGTTTCAAGCTTTTCCCTATCATCCCATCGGTAATTGTATTGAATCCCGATTCTTTGTTTAGATTCAAACTGGCTCTTATTTAATATGTTTCATCTACAAGTAAAAGATTTACGAATGCTTAGAATAACTAGCGCGGATATCGTATGACCTTCAAGACCACAAGAGCAAGGAATTTGGTATATTTGCGCACGCAGATGGATCTCTTAAATTTCACACACAAAAACGCATAAAAAAGGAAGTCTGTATATATTATTAATGGAATGTGTGAAGGCCATAATAAGACCTGAGATTAAGGGAAATAGTCTGACTGTTATCAATCTTTGGTCGCACATATAGTTCATACAACTAAACTATAAAATCCTTCTGCTAAAATAAGTCAATGGAAAAGTGCAGTACATGAGAAATGTCATGATGGATCTATGTACGTGTAAGAGCACTCAAAATGCATGGTGCGAACTGATTGAAGCGTGAATATTGAGTGACTGAAATCATTAAGATTGTAAATGAAGTGTTATTTTGCAGTATTATAATTTGATTCGCTGTGCAGTATGTGATTTATAGATGACGAGGATTGGTGCTGTAGTGAATGATATTCGGAAAAAAGTAGCTCAGTCAGCACCCGAGTTGTCGAAACGATGTCGATCACTGATCAAATGTTGGCAAAAATTGGCCGAACCAAAGCCTGCGTCTAGTGGTTCTTCTTCGACTAATGGTACTCCCAGTTACGCTTCTCCTGCGATCAGAAAGGGTCTTACGCCAGGCACACCCGCAAAGGGTCCACGAGGTATTTCTGGTGGCAGCTCATGCCTTACACCTGCTGGAAACTCTCGCTTGACACCTTTAAGTAGTTCAGTTGTGACGCCATCTGGAAGTTCAGGTGTGATTATTTTCCCTTTTTTTTACCGATTATCTTCACCTGTAGCCATAATTATATGGAAATGTTATAGCGCTGTAGCTAATAATTACATCAGTTACAGGTTCACGGAGTACTGCTGCTTCACCAACAGTTTCAAATGGACGTACTGTTACCCCTTATCAAGGATCCGGACAAGAAATGTCGCCAAACGCTGCAGAACCTGGAATTATTCGAAAATCACATACAATTGGTACTGATCTCGCAATAAAAGCAGTCGAAGGTTCATTATTATCAGGTGGAGAAATTATTCGAAATGGGAAGAGAAAAGGAGAGTATACTGCAACCCCTGATTTAGGTAAACTTATTGAGAATGGTTCTTTTATGCACAAGTTGTTAACGAAATATGCAATACCCAATAACACTCAGTAATGCTTATAGTATTCAGATTAAAATATACACGCGCTGACCAGTATTACATCTTTCAGGAATTACAAACGGGTTAAATGCTGCGAAACGTCTGCACTACAGTTCTGCGTCGGTGTCTCCAGTAATCCCACATCAGTCACTACTTGCTGCTCGACGTGCTGATGTGAAGTCGACAAGTGAATTGGTTGCGCAGTTAACGGAGAATTTGCCAGGCTACTTAGCAATAAACATATCACAAAATCGAAATCCCATCAGGAATGAATGTAACGATAACGAGGGACAAGCAAGTGTATTATACAATACTTCAGTTGCATTTCATGTTATTCCAGACTATCTTTTAAAGGTTGATGTGTGTACAACAGTGTACATACAAAACAATGTTTGAATCTTATGGTGTTCTTTCTATTGGATCGGAAAAATTGATACATTTTGTTTTTAATATAAGTGATCTTGAAAAATTACTACGTCTTGTCTTTCAGATCGACGAAATTCTAAGTGCATTTTCATTTCCAGAACACGGGTCAAACATCCAGAACGCTCTTTGCTCTTCAAACAGAAACTTCCAAGAAGAAAGAAAAGCGCAGTCGTTCTAAAAAAGATAAAGAGGGACGTATAAAAGGTCAATCTGTTGCAGACGAAAAGGTGATAACAGTGGGCAGTGAAAAGCAAGTTTTCTGTTAATTCTTTGTTCATTTTTCTTTATGAACTTATAAACTAAGTAATTTCTGAAATCTTTGTGTTTAATTCGGAATTGCTCCAATAAAAGAGTAATAGGTAATCTTGAATTTGAATATATTGCTGAACTTACTATTTTTAGAGCTTCGACATCGGCAGTAGGAAATGTAGAATCGGTACTGGCAAGTAATATATCAAATAGCGATCCTTCTACTAGTAAAATGGTGGTACCTATGCGTAACGGGAAATATGATTGGTATGCGATGCTTCCAAGTTTAGAAACATTGCGCAATCGTGTGCATTTCCGCTCCAAACCGTCCAGCAATCAGCGAAAGTCATACATCATGAATGTACTGGGCAGGAAGGTAATTTTTTTCCAAAAAAGATTTTCACATATGGTAGTGAGTAACATAAAAGTCTTTTTTATATATATCCCTTTGAGTTCTGCTAGCAGACTTTTATCAAAAAACAATGTTTAAGTGACAAGTATTGCAGGTATTGGCCTTACCATATATTGACGTTGGCCTGCCAGATTTTTTGGAGTACCAATTTCCAAAACCTGAAAGATTTTATGCAGAAGAAAACTTCATATACGGTGCTCCACGACCAAATTGATTCTCGCATGAGTTTTCATTTGAATTAATAACCAGTGTTTTTCATACCGTAAATCAGTATCCCGCAGTGCATATTTTATGTTGTTCATGACTGTAGCCATTTTTTCTCACCAAGTAATTGATCTCATAAATATGTTTCTTTAAAGCTTAATCAGCTGTTGCTTTAGGATTCATTTTACATTTGATTTTTCGTGCTTCAAATGCAGATTAAATGCAAAAAAGGCACTCTGTTGTTGTTTTTAAGAATTTTGACAAGTGCTTTAGATTCTTTGTATTTATTATGAAAACCCTTTCCAAATGTTCCATTTATAAGGTATTCTCTGCAAGAAGTCATGTGGAAGTTTATCAGCTCCCTGAATTATGATTTGTTTTCATTTGATGTTTACAGTGGTATGCAGTTGTTTGTTGCGCTTCTGATATGCATTATTTGAGAATAAGTTAAAACAAAACAACTTTGACCGAAACGTGAGTTATAACTGCAATTGGTTTTAGTATTCAAAAACTTGAAATCTGATAATATTTAAGTAAACAAATCTAGAAGGATTTTATTGTTTAAAGAAAAAATTTGAGGACTCTTATTTTCTTCTCTTTAAGAAGGAAAAGGAAAGCTTATTTTCATTGTTATCTTTTTGTTACCAACAGTCTCGCTCAGATCAATCTAACTCCGACATTAAAAAGTAGTGGACGCGAGCCAGAAATTACTGTAGTTTCCCACTTCGTATAAGCATGTGTTCAAAATGTTTTCGCATGTTAGGGCTATAATCGTCACAGTTTTGATTTGATTTTTGTTTTGAATTTATATTTTTTGTGCCCTTTACAGGTAATTACAGTAGTGCCTTATTTGGTTATATAAAGATGTAAATTGAACATGTTTCTCCAATGTTGTGTTTTTTTTTCCAGTTCATTCCTACTTTTTAGTTAATTTCCCTTCTAGCCTTTCTTTCCCCTCTATGACAAACCAACATTCCATGTTTGACTTGCGTCCACGAACAGTTCTTGATCTTTAAATGTAAATTTGTTTTATGCTTTTTGTATATTTTACTTTCAAATGGTAAATTTCCCAATATACTTGCAACCTTTCGAGTCGTGAATAGTTCAAGGCCATTCTGATACTTTGAAGAGGAAGTAAGTACCGTACAGTAAACTTCTAGTTTATTTCAAAGGTTGTTTTCAGAAGGTTATTCATTTTACGCACGGGTTAGCGCGGATCCGGTATTGAAATTTCAATGATTTTATTTCATAAATTTTATCCGCCACACTCATTAGATCTTGCAAATAAAGAAAATTTATGAACGAGGAATATTTTCCTTAAACATTAGGTATGTTGTAATTGGAATTTTGAAATTGATGTCTGTTGAACAGTTCATTGCTTGTCCTCCGAATGCTCTTTTTTCTTCTTAATGTTGTTCGTTTCTTTTGTATTCTTGCTCATTTTCAAAGCTATTATACAGTATACGAATGTTAACAAATATTTAGTTTGGTTGTGCTGAGTAAAACAAGGTTCGAAACAAAGTAAATTTTTAAATGTATATCCTACCTTCTTACTCTGCTCATTCACTGAATATTGGAAGTGCGATATACAAATGAATCAACGAAATGTTGTCTAGGACGAGTGTGGGTTCTGGCTAGTTGTTTGTGAATTTATAGAGAAATTTGCTGATGCAAAAGTTTAACATAAACCAATAGGGTGGGGAGAGTTTGGACAATCGAGAAATGGGATTGGAGTGGATGTTAGTCTAATAGGTCTGGTCATCATATACATGTTTTACATATGTGGATAGTAAGATTGCTGTGGATTAAAGATGTGATGAAAGCATTGGCGACATGTCAAGAATGATTGTTGATGTTACCAATTGCTTGGATTGGATTGTCAGATTTTTCTTTCGAATTAGGTGGGAGTGTGATATGCAGCGACAGTATTTACGACCCAGTGAACGTTATCCAGTTCCACTTAACGAAAACTTTTGGATAAATATCATATACGCCAACAGCACTGGACGAAGTGCTGCAGTTGCACATGAGATGGATCAAATATATGCGTCGAATGTTGCCGCTGAAGTTGAGAAAGCTCTCCGAGAGAACAAGGAAAATATAGATAGTGCTCTTATGAAACAGGTTTTTTTTTCAAATCTTAAGTGATCAGAAGTGATGCTCGACAGAGTAAACGGGTAATATAGTTCCATCTGCTCAGGGAATTATATATTGGCTCTGTACAAAATGGTGTTTAAATTGAACTTTATCAGAGAAGCCTCTTGGCATACAATTCTGTTGAAGTACTGATTATCTTCTGTTATATGTTACCTATACAAAATAGCAATTTGAGAAATGAATTTATATTTGCAAGTTAAAGAAAATATTAGAAACTATTTAAACGAGCGGCAAGGTTACCAGTAATTGTTATTTTTTTAATGCTATGTAACGAGTAAATCTTTGGGTATTGTAGATAGCACCCTCAGCGGTAAATATTACGGGAATTCAGTACGAAAATTTGATAAGCTTGAGTTTCGACCACGACGAATTAATAAGACAGGAAGAAAAAAGAAGAAGACGGATGCGTGAAAAGATCATCAATACTGCATTCAAAAAAGAATGATGATATACAGATACATTTTCGTATAAATTTTCGCTATTTATATTTAAATCAATCGTTAACAAGCTGAATAGAGTGGGCTTTGAGAGTAATCATACAGCACCTATTGAATATTCAAGAATTAACTGATCTGAAATAAATATCTTAGTGAGAACTATGTTTCTGTAACATTAACGCAGTTATATATATATTTATTGAATTGAAAGAGAGATGCTAGCCGAGTCTTAAGTGATAATTTTTTGCTACTGAAAAGAACTTATTTCGGCAAAAATATTGAATTGAAATTTTACTAAGGCTGAAATTTTACTAAGATTTTAAACTTACATTGATATCATTCTTGTATTTACTGCAAAAAAACGCAATTTCGATTGGTTTTTCTTCATTATATATATATTTCATGCAGTTGCAAAAAATTTTTTAAGAAATAATAAAGAGAAATCGAGTTCAACTCACACTGAAATACGGGCATATCCCGCATATCCTCATCTATCTAATAAGCATAATTTTTAGCAAACATCCGTGACCGTTTGCAAACTTTTGCATAAGAATGACTCTTTTGACCTATCAAATTTGTTTACATTTTGAAATGTGTCGCCACTTTTTAAACGTTCACTGGTTCGTCAGTGATATGAACTTTTGGCTCAAGCATCTGTTGCTGGTCAAGATGGGCAGTGGGTTGATTACAGATTGATGAATGCACAAGGAAGTGGATTATTCGGCCATCAACATGAGCCCGAGCGTCTCGCTAGTGCCATTTCTCACATCGAAAATAAAGCGCTCGATGTAAAAACAAATATTGAGCAGCTTCTTTTTATGCTTGATCTACAGGAAGAAGTGGAATGGTAGGTGGGAAATTTTTATGAAGAGGTTTTTCTTTTTCTGAGTTTGACATTTGATTAAGTCAAATAGTTTCCGCCTTGTTTTTAATTCATATATTTCTTTTTTTACAAACATCCTTATTTTAGGATTGATGTATTAAACTACGATCTATTTGTATTCAGACTGTGTTTATGTTTTTAGACATGGGGACATTTTAAGGGATGTGATCTTTAAGAATCTATATAGAAAGGTGGAATGTCGCTTTTAATTTTGATGAAATGGCTCAGACAAGTGAATATATTTTTCTGGATTTACTTTATATATTTAACTTTTAAGGCCAGATATGTTAGACAAATTTTCATCGCTTGCTAGTGCAATGACTCAGTTACAATTTATATTAAAAAAATCGGCGCTTCCATCCGGTTTCGAAGATTTTGGGCTTTTTTTGAGAACTCATGTATTGGTACCTCATTGCCTATCCAATGATATAGATCCTAATCTTCAGGCACGTTTTTATATAATACTTATTTCAATAATATTTATTTAAATGCAATATGTGTAAATAAATCCCGTTAGTTGTGCAATCAGAATGAAGTATCGTGAAGATGAAGAATGCCTCAATTTTTCATGCTTAATCTTGTGAAGTGTGAGACTTATATTTTTTTCTGAGACTAAATCGATATACAGATAGATCATCAGGCTAAAACCAAAAAAAAAAATTTTTCGAAAAAACTTTTTCATAACGAAACTAATCACAGCTGTATGATCTTGTGAAAATTTTTATATTTGCTTTATGACTTCCTCTTTGGAAGGGTTATAATTCAAGCTTTTTCTCCAAATCATTATTTACAGCAAGCCACTTCAAATCGTATTCACTGTTGGAATCATGATGCTGCTCCAGATTATTTACGCACAAAATTAACTCCTGAAGTGGAAGCCGACGAATCACACATTGATAACGAGAAGAACACGAGAACATTTGATCAGGTTATTTTTAAAGATATACTGATTTTCAAAATTTGTCGTTTTATGGTTGTTTACCGTATTTAAAATGTGACAAATATGTTCTACGAAAGTGTATTATATTAAATGTAGTAAAGGCCTAACAGATAAGCTTTATGGTACCTGATTCATGTGGCTTAATATGTAGCTTAATATTTATAGTTTAATATTTGGAATAGCTTGATGCAAGCATTACAAAGTATTACAAGTAGAAGCTAATTGCATAATCTTAACTAAGACTAAGTTGCATAAATTTGTTAGTTTTTAGCTCAGTAAGCTCAAGTAATTCGGAAAGATTCAGAAATTCAGAAAGATTCAGAAAGATAATAAGTACGTGTTATTCAATTTCTAAGTTTGATAATTAGCTCAAATTTTAGAGCTGACACAACCGTAAATTTGCTATTAGGTGAACCAAAGAAGTCCTTTTCAGGTTAATAAACAAATATTGGCAATGAACAAACATGTAGAGACGTTATTGGCATCTATGGCTGAGAATGCTCGTAGTCAAGCAGAAATACAGCAAGATATACCTACCTATAGCAATCAGGACACTCAAAAGTTGGTGAGAGCTGTTGTGAATGGAGAAGGACTGCGTCCATCAAAAACTCTTGCTCCAACCGAAGGTAGCCTTACAGGAAGCTCTGTCAGTGGGTCACATGGAACTACTGTTCGACCACCAGGAACGACGGCATCTCCACAACAAAGGCGATAATTTTGATTGTTATTATGTATCAATTTCTGAAAAAATGATAGATTTCGATTTTTCGAAACAGACAAAATAACATCCTGTAATTGTACATATCTGAAGATGGATCCCCCATATAGTGTAGTTATTCTGCCACAACATCGGATTTTTCAGTGTTGATGATGTACGAAATTTCTGACTATTTTCAAAAAATATTCATAACTATCGAAGCTTATTCCAATCTGTTGTCCAAAGATAAAAACCCACATAAAGCCGTCTCGGTTATTACTGATAAGAGCGCAACGACCCATGTAATGTTCAGTATTTTTTGTAAATGTCCCATCTGATTGTTCACTCTTCATGCTTATACAGCTGATTGAGCTGTAGAAGCATTAAGACTGCTCTAAACGGATAGATAACTAGATGCGATGCGAACCAATAAGTACAAATCAAGATGGATTTATTCATTGGAAGAAATAACAACATCAACAAAACATGGTACGAAAACTAAAAGTCACAACGAACACAAGAACATTCATTCTATTGAGAAATAAACACCGCTGCACTTGTAAGAATAAGTCCTTTTAAGTTTCTAAACACACAAAGTTATTTATCATCTAACATTTAAGAGCGAAATCTGATTCCAATTTCAAAAATGAATTTCATTTCTCCACTATACTGCGGGTAGCAATATAAAACAAAATCATCCTCAATATACAGACAGCGTGTGTGGGAAAGATTGAAAATTATAACTAATACAATCCTCAGAATTCTACCCACAGATGGCAAGAAATTTTTTCAAATTTGTTTATATACGGTGAAAAATTGCACGGAGTCTCATAACCATGGACTTATAATATGTCAACATGCATGGAGTTCAATTCCATTTGTGTTCAGAACAATTTTTGAAGATAAGACTGTTGCAAGTACAATGGTCTCACCTGCTTAGCTACTCCCATTCCGTGGTACCTGGTGGTTTCGATGTAAGATCGATCATGACACGTGATGTTAACGGTACGCGCTCCGTAATGCGGCGTACTATTTCCAATACGTTCTGGAATAATTATGCCAGTAATCACAACAAAATGTAAATTATGTGCAAACTGCAACACTCTGAAATACAAAGTGAGGTACAAGCGCAGTGGCCAAACATCAATCAAGTTAAATAATATTTCTAAATGCAAATCTATCCTAACAACATCATTTTCCAATATCATAAGTAATTCGTTTGAATACTATATTTTGAGGAAAGGAACAATTCATACTGAGTTTTACAGTACTAATACCTGTTCGGAGATATCTCTTCCCGGTAAAGCAGCAACACCTGTCATAAAGTCTCTTGTGATAAAAGGACGAAGAACGAAAGATCGCAGAGTTGACGCCTTTCGTTCCAAAGGATCCCTATCAAAATGAACAGGAACCATTATCACTGGCATCTAAATTAGTGAAATTATGATTGCAGAAATGTTCATCCGCCAAGCAAGAAGGCATGTTTCATGTCTCCATAGAAAAAAATAAAAAGAAACCTGTTGTATTTTTTGTAAACACACTTCCAGAGCATGATGTCTCTTACCATTCTCGTCCAACCCGCAAAGAACATCAGAGGCTATTCTGTCTGCCCACCTTATTAGACCTATCGTGAAATCGTTCAAATATGTGCGCGTGACGTCGTTCACCGGATAATCAACGGCATTTCCAAAAACATAAACTACTCTGCAACACAAGAATCAACCAAACGGATAACATTAATAAAACTAAATTTAATAGTAGTAATAATAGCAACAGTGGTTGTCAAACATACAAAATGAATCACCAATGTGTATCTAATAATAATAACCGGTTTATATTGTGCAGCAAGCGAGGTATGATATGAGCCAGCCGCTCCATTAGCTCCCATGGGATAGGCCTTTCGTTTGTGGACAGTGCAGCTGCATATGCATACGATCGTCCGTCACCTAAAATACTTTGCATGTGTTTCTTTGCAAAATTGCCATCTCATCGCTTTTGTCATTTGTATCTTTAAAAAGTAATTTTTTTTATAAAAACTAAAATATTTGGAATGAAAAATGAAAAAACAGTGAGTTTTTCAAATTAATATAATACATACAAACGCCTTATAAATATTTGCATGTTCACTTACTATAATTTTAAACTAATACAAAACGTCGAACAAACCTTGCACTCCAACTGACTGCACTGGTAAAAGAGTCGTTGCAATTTCAAAATCATGACCAGTGAGAGCTTTTAAGTCAGTTTCTGACAAGTATTGAGTTATAGTATCAAATTCTTCGGACTAAAAGTATTATAGCTCTTAAGACCTGGCTCATAACTGCAAAATTTGTTTTCACAATGCTTACCCCAGGATTCATCTTCAGAAATAATGTAACCGCTTAGATAACATTAAGTTTAATTAGGTTGCAAAGTAAACAGACATCGTATGAATCGGACCAATACTCATTGTTAAAAAAATCTTACATGATGTAAAAGTTAATTCTTAGCTTTACAACATAGATAACACCAACTTACATTTCTATCACAAAGCGAAAGATTTGCGATCAAATGCAAGTGATGCTGAGTTGTAACGAAAAGGTCGACATCAGTAAATACTGGACGCTCGGCACAGACGATCCGAATAGCCAATCCGGGACCTGGAATAAATCAAACTTCCTATATGATAATCTGAAATATAAAAATTTGCTTCTGTCCTAAACTTTGAATATTCTACGGTCCTTCAGCAAAAGTATTTGCTAGCTCTATAAGACATACTATCTATTGAAAAGTATATGCTAAACACTGAGAGTGATATTGCATTATGTCTTAATCATATCTAATATTCTGACCTACTAATCCCGAGATGTCTTTCCAATTTGTTAAATTTCCCAAGGTAGGCTCCAAGTATCCTTACTGCTCTAGTTATTATCAAGTCATGTAGAAATTCTAGTCAATTTTTACAAAAAACATAGATGAGTTTGACTGCTGCAATTAAAAATAGAAAAATGGAAAATAAATTGTAACCTGGGAAAGGATGTCGTTGGACAATGTGTTCCGGTAACCCTAAAGATACTCCTAACTCACGAACTTCATCTTTGTGGAAATCTTTCAGTGGTTCCAAGACTTTTCCCTGAAAATAAGTTGCTGCTATTTAATTGAATCCAGTATACGGTAATCCTTAGCATTTGAATTTAGTTATTGCATAAAAGCAAAAAAACCAGTCCATTGTTTTTTATATATTAAGAAGTATCCAGAAATGTAAGCGACACTTACCAAATTTCTTAGTTCGCGGACAAGTGCGCTATCATTGTGATGAGTTTTAATGACATCTGCTTGAGAACTAGCCAAATGTGACGCGCTTTCAATCAAATCAGGTCTAAGTGTACCTTGTGCCAGAAATACATCCTTATCCAATTTCAACTAAAATAAATTAGTAAGATGTCGGAGTTCAATAAAACCACCAAATACCATTTCCTAAGAAGCTCTACTTCAAAGCAATAATTACCTCATTCATTATCCTATCTTTCACTCGCATGAATGTATCACCGATTATTTTACGTTTCATTTCGGGTTGTATAGTCCTCATCAATGGTGCTGAAAGTTCGCTTCCAACTGGTATTCGGCCATTCATAAAGGCGTAGAAGGCATTGTACCCTGAAAAATATTTTTATGTTCTGCTTTTATTTGAAGCAAATTCAGATCTTGCGCTTTCGAAGCCATATAGTTTCCCATAAAACCTAATCGGCTACTTCAAAGATGCGAGCAATATCATTTAATTAATTTATTTGGACTAGAAATAAAACTACACAACTTCAAACATGCAGTGCTGGGTGAAATTTAAAATATGGATAAAAAATGTTGTAAATTGTTTCCGACTGTAGATATGAAGACATTATTTGAACAAAAAACTAATAGTGATGAAGAGGTTCATAAAATTCTATCAGCATAAATCAAAAAACCAAAACAAGAAATACAACGTACTTCGCACTTTTAAATTCAACTTGTTTAACGACTCCAGTACTCGATCACTTTCATTGGAACGCATAAAACCATTATCGATGTGTATAGCAATCACTCGATCACTTCCTAAAGCTCTGTGAAGAAGAGCAGCACACACTGTTGAGTCTATCCCACCCGACACCATCACCTAAATATATCTGGTAATACTATAATCGATTAATTTTTGCTACATACTTTTAGCACGTAATTCATTTTAGTATAAAACATATTGAAAAAGAACTTATATATCACAAAGTAACTCATATATGAATTTTTAACAAATGCCAAAAGACCTACCAATACTTTCTTATTCATCACAACAGAACGAATTTCTTGGATACATTTTTGCTCACGATTATCAATTGTGAAACTACCAGTAATACCAGCGATGTCGAAGAGAAAATTATGCAATATTTCCTTTCCGCAGATAGATAAATCCACTTCAGGATGAAACTGCACACCGTATAACTTTCGCCTTTCATTAGCAATTGCTAAAGATATTTGGAAGAAAAATGATTTACTATTTTTGCCAATAAAAAACATGAATGCATCTGTCGAGAAGAATAGTGCTAAAGCTCTAGTAAAAGTTTCCGAAATATCAAATACAATAGAGTCCGAAAGAAAGTTAAACCAACCTGCAACAAAATTTCCACTCCTACCCACGACTTTGAAATCACTAGCTACAGTTCTTTCAGTGACACTATCACCATGTGTCAACAATACCTTTTGGCAGGATGCAAGTCCCTTGAACAAGGGGCAGTTGGTGTCAACATCGATCTGCAAAATCTAAAGTTGTAACAACATAAAACTATTGTGACAAAGTTTTGAAAGAGATTGTCGAAAATTATATTGCAATCTCATCAAGGCTGTCCAAACATTTAAGCTTTTGATTTCTGGACATGATAGGTTTTCGCATCTAAAAATTTTTTAGCTTCTATAAAGATTACAAATCCACCCTTCGTAGCTCAGCATGTCAAACCATAGGTCAACATATAATGATATTCCCCTGATTTGCCTGAAGTCTTTAATACATTTTTAATTATGCCTTAATGGCGCATAGTCGTTATCACTACGGTGTCATAAAGACATATCTAGTTCTTTTCCAGTCACTATATTTTCCAAAAACATTCGAAAATACCTCAAGCTGCCCATCTTCTCGTGCTGATTTTTTAGATACACATCCTCCAAATGCTTTGTTTATCAACTGAAAAATGTTCCAATCAATCCCAGGAATAAAAGTTTTTTTCGAATAACATTCTACTTTGTTAAAGAATTTACTGATTATATAGCACAGGATAAATGATTTAATCAGTAAAATAATGCAAAATAAAAGGAATACCTGAAAACCATAACAAATTCCAAGGACTGGAATACCACAAGTCAATATGGCAGGATCAAATTCAGGTGTATTAAATGAATTTACAGAGTTTGGTCCACCACTCAATATAATCGCTCTATAAAGAAAACTTTGTACTTTTCTAACTCTATAAAGAAAACTTTATATTTTTCTAACTCCTGAAAATATAAGAAGGAAACGAGAACGGGATTAATTCTATTGCAACGTGGAATAAACAAGTGGAAATCTAACCAGAGGCTTGCTTATGCAAGAAAACACATACTTGTAACACCCTTTCTCAACTATATCAGCTGCTTTTGTATTAAACGGCAAAATTTCGCTATAAACATTTTGCTCATGAATTCGACGATCGATAACCTATAAATCGAAGACATCATGAGAAAATAGAGGATTGAGAGGATAAAA